CCACCATGGTCCCAAACAGCCCAGGATGAGCATGATGCAGACCAGCACCTTTCCACCACTGGAAAAACAAATTGAACGCCTTGAAGGGTCAGTTTTATATCAAACTGGGAATAAAACCAGCTTTCACTTGTGTGCCAGTGCTCCGGGGAACCCCCAGAATGGTGGAATCACCCCGGGGGGGTGACAGCCCTGGGAACGGGCTGTAGTTTCACATGGGGAGGTGACACCAAAAGCAGTGGATTGGGGGAGGAGGTGTCTTTAAGGCCATTCAACCCTTGGCTCTGTCTCCCTGCAGTGGGAAAAGCCTGGAGAGCAGACAGTGGGATGAGTGGTGTTGAGACCTGACCCACTGCCCAGCTCATTACATCTGCAGCACCGGGATGGATCCAGCCCTGTGCCCCCAAAAGGCACTTGAAAACACCCTCAGAAATGGAGGGATGATATATTTTGGCAATAAGAGGCCCAAAAAGTGGCTTCGAGGGGGGAATGGAGGGAGGATTTTGGCAGAGGAAGGGCCGGGGCTGCAGTGGAGCCACTGGCTCGAGTTGCTGTGGGCAAATATTGGGGTCCATGACCAGGGAGCCCCGTGTGCACCAGGCACATCCTGGAATTCCGGAGTCCATCCACCCTGGCATTGAATCAGTGACTGGATTTAATAAATTCACCCCCTAAAAAAGAGCATTAAATGAGTTTTAAACCCCATGTCCACCCCTGAAACACAGCAGGTGTGGGTGTGTGGTGACAGGGGGTGCCTGTCCATCCATCCCTGCATCCCTCCATCCATCCCTCCATCCATCCCTCTACCCCTGCATCCCTCTCTCCATCCATCCTCCTTTCATCCATCCATCAACCCATCCATCCATTTATCCCTCCCTCCCTCCCTCCCACCTTCCCTCTCTCCCTTCTCTTCCCTGGAGAAGGCAGACAAAGCCAAGCAGAGTGTTTGCCCTGCTGGGTGGTGCTTTCTTTCCCTTTATTAATAATAATAACTAATAAAAACAATTAATAATTAATTAAAAATGGTGATGTGAGCCAAAGGAATATTTTGTTCAGCCTGAAATGGCTGTTTTGGGGTAAAAGAGGTGGAAACGGGGAGTGGGATCAGGCCCTGGCAGTGCAGGGGTTATACCCTGCTGGGGTGACTCTGGGTTTTTGGGTACCCTCGATGGGTGGCCCCAGGGATGGGGGAAACGGTGCCATGGGGGAAGCACTCCCAGCTCTCTGTTTTGAGGTGTCATCCCTCCCCTGCTGCCCCTGCCCTGCCTTCCTCTTGGGCTGGGTGGTCAGAGCTGGACTGGGGGGGCTGGGCTGGGCAGCAAAGAGGGGTCACCCTCAAGGTCCCTGAGATGATGGCTCCTCCAGTCCCAAACAGGGCAGGGACAGCCCCGACAGACTTTAACCCCTCCTGGCCCAGTACGTCAGTAGGGACCAGAGTGAACACAAGGGCCGGTGCTCCCCAGTGGGGACCACCCTGGGGCTGGGCTGGGGACCCCCAGGGGCCCACCCAGTGTGGGGAGAGGGGGGAGGGAGCCCCACAGGCCCCGAGGGGCACCCACGGGGTGTGCATACGTGTGTGTGTGTGTGTGCCCGGGGTGCTCCTGGCATGTACCTGGCACATTGGTGGGGTGTTCCTGGTGTGTGCCTGGTGTGTGTCTGGCATGTTCCTGGTGAGTTCCTGGACTGTTCCTGGGCTGTGCCTGGGCTGTGCCTGGCGTGTCCCTGGTGTGTCCCTGGTGTGTC